CTGCACCTGCCAAGGAAGCCCATAAAGTGCCTCCCGGCTATTGATATCACATGTCCTCTCCACCCAAATCCACCTTGTGTCTAATCTGGTACATATAGAGATTAAATGCCCCAAAATGAGAAGAGGCCAAGAGGCTGGCCTGCTCTCTGCCTTGGTAGCTTTAATGCTGCCTCTTGAAGACCGTAGCTCTTCAGAAAGGCACTCTGCGTATGCCTAGAGGCATTCTGTTCCACAGCAGTGTTTCACTCGGTTTTAAAACATATTCATCTCTGGTTCTAGGGGTAAACCCCTGTCTGTGTTCTGCAGTTAAGGTCTGGGTCAGGTAACTTCTGTCTGTGAGGAGGGAACCAGATAGGAAACCGTGTGCTTGAAAGAAGGTGGATTTGATCCTGAAGTGGAAGAAGTGCTCTGCCTGTAGACTTCCCAGAAACATCTCGCCACTTGAGTACGGATCTACACAGACTGTCATTTTTACCCCATATTTTTGCTGTTATGAAACAGGATGACAGCTCTCACGTTGTGGAAGATGCCCTTACAACACTTTGGAGTCAATGACACATGAACACAGAGGAAAGGCTGTTAGCTGCAGGCTTTGGAGCACTGGCCCATTGCTTTATTTTATTTCATTTGTCACATTTATATCCCACTTGTCCTCCAGGCGGCATATTGCTCCCCAATTAATCCTCAGAACAGGCCTATAGGTCATAATGAATGAGTGTGAGTGGCCTAAGGGGAGTTTCATGGCTGAGTGTGGATTTGAATCCACATTTCATGAATCCTTGTTCAACATTGTAACTACTACTGACTTTTCACATTAATCTATATAGTGGGGAAAAGCAATGATTGGCAATTATGAAAGTAGAAAGCCTTTTTGATGTGGTAAGAATAGTTGAAGTCTGCACAAGTTGCTGTTTACTGTCCTGATTAATATTGTGATAGCTCCAATATGCTAGACTTTACAAAGCAACAGGTCGTACGAAACAGTTGCACTAATGCAGGGGTCTCAAACATGCGGCCCGTGGGCCATTTGCGGCCCGCTGGATGATAGTTTGTGGCCCCCTCCTTGCCTGCCCCCCCGAAGCGCCCACCCGTCCTCTGCTTCAAGAGTCAAAAAAAGCCTCTCCTCGCTCGCCAGCTGCCTCCCAAGACAGCGCCTCTTGCACCCTCCCTCTGGAACAGGAGCC